GAATGCATAAACAAAATTGCAAATTTTCACTTGAAAGAATAGTGAACAATCTTGGGATTTTTTTTTCTGTTGAAGTTTCAAATAGTGTGTAAATTGAATACACTTCATCTTCAACATGTTTAGTGCTACTTTTGTAAGTGGCCCCGCCCCCGTCCCGGCTACGCCCCCCCCGTCCGGGCCACGCCCCCTTCCGCTTTTTTCATCACTAGCCACTCTCATCCCTGGCTTTGTAGAGTTTTAAGTTTGCTCCACAATGTATTGACTGAGATTGGTTTTCCTTAGCTCATGTGGTGATATGCCTCAACACATTGATGTTATTTTTTTGATGCAGTGCTGCCCGGGGGATCGAAGTTTCACAGGCATTCAATGTTGGTTTTCAACCTTGCTGCTTATACGCATTGATATCTCCAGATTCTTTTGATGATATTATGGGCCGTTGACGATTAAATCCCTGAATTCCTTGCAATTGTACACTGAGGAAGATTGTCCTTTAAATTGACTTTTTCTCATGCGGTGGTTCACCAAGAGGTTCACCTCACCCCATCAATAGGTGTGAGTGACTGAGCAATTCATGGAAGCTCCTTTTGTACCCAATCATATCACCTATTCCAAGTTAGCCTGTTCACCTGTGCGATGTTCTGAACAGGTATTTGATGAGCATTCCTCAATTGTCTTTTTTACCACCTGTCCCAGTTTTTTCGGAACGTGTTGGAGCCATAAAAGTCAAAGTGACTGATTTGAACATGAAATAATCGCTGCAATCCTGCAAATATCATGTGGAGACCACAAATTACATTTTTTTTTGTCATTTTTTAAAAATGTTCGTATAGGGAGTGTCTATATATATATATATATATATATATATATATATATATATATATATATATATATATATATATATATATATATATATATATATATATATATATATATATATATATATATATATATATATATATATATATATACATGTGTGTGTGTGTGTGTGTGTGTGTGATTGATTGATCAATAGATCGATGATTTTTGACAGACATCCATATGTGTACGTGGACAAACAAATTTAGTTGTACCACTTAAAGGCATTTAAAATGAAGAAAAAAGGGTGGTTTTCTCAAGAACCCTACAACAATTAATTTAACCTTATGTTAAATAACCCTACTTTCACATTATTGATGAGTGTAGAATTTCGAAAAAAAAAAAGCAATTTTGATCATGTTTGAAACCTACGTGTGGGTAATCTTCTATTTTGGGTTCATATTTTTATGTCCAACTCCAGAAGAGTCGTGCCTCACCAGTCATGAACCTCACCACACGTCACTAATCAGAATGTGATATATAGGCAACATACTGACATTTATGGCAGACTGTGGGCCATATCCGGGTGCAATTTTGAGCCTCTTGAGCTCATCAGCGCCTTACCCCCACAGTCCAACACTGTTACCGTGATCGATTTAGCAGGACTTTAATATGCCCCTCCCCCCACCCCCACCAAAAAAAAAAATCCAAAGCCGCACTACATTTCAGGCAAATAAGGTCAATATAGCTCATCAGGGGAACATAGCTTTTGGAGGTTTTTTTTTCACCTTGATTCATGTCATGAATTGTAACATTGATAAAATTGAATTGCTGATGCCCCCTCTGATCCTGCAATGGCAGCATTAAATGACACAATGAGTGACACTATTCATTCAGTGGGGTCCATGGGATTGAAGACCAGGAGATGATGCACTGAGAAAACAGTACTGTCTTTTGATCGAGGCTTTAGCTGTGATTCTGACTTTTCAATACAATAATCCACAGGATTTTTTTAACCCTTTCGTGCAACCTGTAACCTGAGAACATGAAAAGCTGTCCACTGTAGTAACCGCTGTCCCCCAATGGGGTAATTGAGTTATTCTTCAAACTGCCTCTTCATTTGATTGGACTTTCCATCGGGATTAATAAAGAATCGAAACTATCTGTTTCTTTGTCGCTCCATTTGTCTGAATTGGCTCTTATTTATGCTGCCAACTGCTCGCTGACTTTTGTCATATTCAGTTTGTGTGGAGCTCAATGGATATAGCGGCAAAGGTATATAAAGGATTCATGTTCAGCTTTATTATTTCATCGAATGCCTCTGAGACCACCAAATGTGTAAAAATAGTAATGCAACAGTGATGTGATACATATTGAATAAAAGGGAATATTATGGGTAAAGAAAATAATAGTAGACAGTCAAAGCTGGGTGTGTGGGCAGAACGCGTCACTATTCGTGGAGCTGGAAATCTGACATCAAGAATCCAGAGCTGATACTTAAAAGAACATGGTCCTCAAAGTTTGGCAGACAATGCGGGTGTTTGAAATGTAGTATATATAATTTATTATAGGTGACATTCCATGTCAATTCCAGGTACACCATTTGTCAACTGTCTTAAAGTCAATGCTTTTAAGACGAGCAACATTGTCAATCATTTTTCATGGAAGACGTGTGGCTGTGCTTGGTGAATTTGTCTTCGTTAAAATTACATTTCTTATTTTTGGTTCAAACCCTGAATGGGATTTCTTCAGTCCTGCTGTTATCTATTTTTATATGGATGTGAATTTCACACAGAGAGGTAAATCCACATGAAGCAGTAGATTTTTGGGGGGTGCTTATGGACAAGGGAGAGTTCAGCGCCACAGTCGTTTGATGTTTTGATTGAAAGCGTGTCGCCAGTAATTCACAATCTTTTTGGAATACAGTGGTACCTCTACTTACCAACGTCTCTTCATACGAAATTTTCAAGTTATGAAACACCTCAACAGGAAAGTATTGCCTCTTGTTACAAAGACATGTCAAGATATGAAAAAAATACAGTTTGGGCTGCTTCTCGCAGCTTCGAGTTTCATGAACGCAACATACTCAGCTGCTCTGCCATTGGCTATTACCGAGCATCATCCTGGCATCTCATTGGCTAAGAGGGACCTCTACCCTTGCGTCTGTGAGTGTAGATCAGTGGTTCTTAACCTTGTTAGAGGTACCAAACGCAACCAGTTCACATGCACGTTCACTGAACCCTTCATTCATAAAAAATAAAAATGTGAATTCTTACAAATTCAAGACATTAAAAAAACACATTTATTAAAAATAGAAAAAAGTCAATACAATTACATGGCCTAAGTGTGACGGGGGTCACAACTGTGACGGTCTCGAGCTCCACGTCACTGCCGCCTCAATAAGACCAGACGCATGGAGTGTGGCTTTTTCTTTCTTTTAATACTGCAACACAGTATGGCGGGAGGGATAGGTGAAGTCGGTCTCAGAATAACTTTTGACTTCCCTGGTCGCTCTCACTAACAAAACATCATCCATAACATAAGACAAAATGCACAACAAAACAAAATACACAACATGGGTGATCGTATATTAATTATTTACAGAAAAGGGGAAAAAAATGCACATACACTGTTATTTACGTGATGCCACTGAACGCATCACATGCAGCAGAACGGCTGCGCAATGTACAATAATGGCAGCCGTGACGAACTGCGGACACACGCCAGTAACAAACACAAACAGCCAAACGAAAAACGACACGAACAACTACTGTATATACAGTAAAACCGACAGGAAACAAACATTACCTGCAACACAGTATGGCGGGAGGGATAGGTGAAGTCACGGGGCTTTTCGGTCTCAGAATAACTGCTCAACAGAAAAGCACTATTAACTCAATGGGTAAAAACTTCCATTCGACAAAACTTAATAACAATAATTAAAAAACAATACAAAAAGCAATTTGGACTCGGAACAAATCAGAGAACTAATTAAATACACCGCACCGTAGAAAAAAGAAAAACAAAGTGAAATATTGTCATTAAATTAGAAATGAATCCTGACCGTCAATGAAATGCGACTTACCCTGTGACTTCCCTGGTAGCTCTGCCTGAGTTACGGCGGGAAGCTGGTGCCATACTGTGCGCTGTTGCGTCACTTCCGCCGTAATCTAATAAACTCAATATATCACTCCGTTACATAAGTACAGTTTAACTTGTATGACGTACTATCACAACAGTCACAAGAGCAAACTAAATGTCCCGTAGCACTGATTGGACAAGAAATGCAATGTGATCATCTGCAGCCAGCGATGGCCAAGCGGGCGTGTCATAACTAATTGACATCTTGAGTCGGGTGTGTCTTAACCTCCATGGCAGAGGCTCCGTCGAACCCCTGAGACCGATTCACCAAACCCCTAGGGCAGTGGTTCTTAACCCGGGTTCGATCGAACCCTCAGGTTCTTTCTTGTCCAATCAGTGCTGCGCGAAATTTAGTTCACTCAGTAATTACCGTGTGGCTGTCGTGATAGTACGTCATACAATTTTTAAAAAACGGATACTTATGCCATATAATTTTACTTACTTTTTTCTGCTTTTAATAAATGTGTATTTTTAATGTGCTGAGTTTGTAAAAAAAAACATTTTTATTTTTCACCAAAGAAGGGTTCTGTGAACGTGCATACGAACTGGTTGGGTTTGGGACCTCTACCAAAATCCTGAACCTGGGTTCCATCGAACCCAGGTTCAGAAGCAGTGGTGTAGATAGATAAATGGCTAGATATGTGTCTATGCAGCGTTCTCGTCATTCGCCCTTTGGGCCGCGTTCCGATAGTTTTACGTAAATGTGAATCACCCAGAAAAAGTGTTCACCAGTCGGGCGATCGCTCACTCTGCTGATGTTTGCCTTGGACATTTTCGAACGATTGTTAAAAGCCGAAAATAGCAAACGTCCTCGGATCAGTTCTTTACAAAACGGCAACCAAAAAACACTTCTGAGAGAGAACATGAACTACAGAGGGCACAAAAATGATGAGGACACAATTAAAGTTAAACGACCATAATTTTTATTCTTTATTCTTTGCTTTTTACACTATGCACACCTCTCATTTATTGTGCAATGATCTAATTATAACATGTATTTGTTACATATTTTGATGCAATTTTATGCTTTAGAAAAAAAATTATGTCTGAATTGTGGGGCGGGGGGCTTGGAACGCATTAGGCCATTTACATGGATAACGCGTCTCTACTTACAAAATGTTCTCGTTAAAAAATTTCTTCCAGAACATATTCATTTCGTAAGTAGCAGTACCACTGTACTGTCAATTGGGATGAAAACCTACAATCAGCGAGACAAAATGCCAGTGAGGTGTGCACTCCCATCAGTTGTTTCCCACTAATTCTGACATGTCTTTCTTCAGCGGAAGAAAATCATTCAACATGGAATATTTCATTATTTTTGTTTTGGTGGCAGTTAACATGGCAACAGACGCGACTGCAATATTTATAGAAGCCGATATTGCATGTGCATATAGCTGAACCACACAGAATCACTGCCACAGACTAAGCAGGTTGCAGCTTCCTGGGGGAAGGTCTGCCTGTGCTTTTATGGTTTCCACACAAGCTGTCATCTTACCATCTTCATGGCGATGAAATAACAAGAGAGACTTTATTTTGATTATACAGATCTTTTGACTATACAACATAAAGGGAGAACATTTACTATACATGTTTTTAAAAGACGGCAGTCAGACCACCCGTCGAAGGGATCATTTTCATTGCAGCCTTAACTGTTTCATTGAGCTACAGGGAGTCTTGCAATTTGCATTTACCATGCGGTCATCTTGTCTGGTGATGAAAATGAATGTCATAATAAAAGCATTCTTGCTTCAGAAAAAGAAAAATCAAAACGTTTTCATCCAGAGTAGTTCAATCAGTGTAAAAGGTGCTGTTTACATCAGTGAGTCTCAACTGGTGGGCTGGGCTATAGAAGTGGGTCATGCACGGCGAGTAAAAAATTAAAGACATTCATGTTGTAATTTTTCCACATCATACAGAGGTGTAGGCTTTATTTGGTCAGGAATAGAAAGTCACAGAGAGGACTCACAAAGAGATTCACATAATTGTAGGACAGTCATAAAATGCGTATGCACTATCTCTCTCTCTATCTATTTTTCTATCTATCTAGAGAAAGAGAGAGAGAGAGAGAGAGAGGGAGAGAGGGAGATGCAAAATACCGAAACACTATTATTTCCTGTATATAGTTTATGCCAACACAAATTGATAATAGCCACCCCCAACCAAGCCTCGTTTGATCTCATTTTGGTCATTTTCTTTCTTTCCTTCTCTCTTTCTTTCCATTTGAACAATGTCATATAAAACTTCAGACATTCACTTGTGTTCTATTTTTCTATGTAAAATGTGTTACATTATGACTGAATAATATTAAGCCCCCACTTGGACTGGGGTCAGGGACAAAGCTGAAACACTGGTAACCAAATTAGACACAAACACCCTAACCAACACCCTAACCAACATTATAACCAACAAACACCCTAACACTTCATGTCAAATCCTGATGTTATTCAGAAAAAACAAACAAACAAACAAAAAATGCATCCTGCCTGGTTATCAGGGGACAGCAAATGACAACTTCATAAAAGCGGATTCATGCTGTGTAAAATAAAATTCATAAATACCCACTCATCCTGAAATACATCTTCGTGCGTAAATATAAGAACAAGCTTGCTACCTGTATTGGAGCTGTCTGATTGACAGATTTCCTTACTTATGCAAATACGTACAACAACATTAAAATCACAAAATGCATTGAAGATAATTGTTCATGATATGATTTCAAAATGTGACTCTATATAAATATTAATATAAGACAAAAAAATTGAGATCCAAAATAGTCAGTTTTAATCACTTGTGTAACATGTGTCAGGTGGTAGTGAGGAGACTATGCAATGCCCTCCCTAATGCTCCACAACGAATGTCTGCAGCGGTGACTCATTTGGATGCTGGGAATGTAAGGGCTGAAAATGTTTATATTTTGCAGAAGTAGTGGTTGGTCCCAGATATTTTTGTGCTCAAGCTCAAGCGTTTCATTGTAAAGTAGGTGTAATTCAGTGATTGGTTTTGAGGATTTGGTTTTCCCCTATTTCAAAAGGCACTTATACAATTTCTGACACTGTATTACACCGCTTGGTTCAAGTGGCTAGATTCTTTTGCTGGTTTTAGTTATGATAGTTAACAACCTCAATATCAAGACATATTATTTTAATAGTGGACTTGGCAGGAAAAATGGCCAAGATAGATATGGAAGGAACATGTGGTCAGAGACATTTACAGATTGTTCAAGAAGCGTACATGGCAAAAAAAAAAAAATGTTGTTAATCTGTATTTAATTTTGGGGTTTGAAATATGCTTTGGGAATACAATTGCTGCGTTATTGTCTCAATGACTTTTGCATCGATAGATTTTGGTTCTGTAATTTTTTTTTTTTTCATAAAGCCATTTTTGAGTAGTTTGATGTTCTTTAGTTAGGACTGTTGTCATTTCGTTTTTTATGGATTTTCGGTTGTCAATTTTTTCTTGCCAGTTGCATGCCCTTTTTGTTCTCATTGGATTTACCTGGCTTTTTGTCTCCAGCGATTTCTGTTTCTACTTTGTCGGTCTTTCACCTTTCGCTAAATAAATATAATTTTGGAATCGCTATTTATCTGAGTCTGTGTTTTTGGGATCCACCTTCTACCCGGTCTTTGTTCAAACCATCGCATTGTCAATCTGGTTGCACAATTGTCGAAGGGAGTGACGTCGGGAACCGAGATTGGAACTGTTCATACCCACGTTCCCAATGTCTTTTCCGATTTTCCAACCGGGTTGCGGTGTTGAAAATCGATGGATGGATGGATGGATACCAACAGATGAAAATAACTGAGAATGGACCAGAAAGGACAGCTTCTTGAAAAGTAGCTACAGAATCTAAACCACAACACCACTCCGGCTCGGAAGATATTTATCATGTATTTTTTATTATTTCCTTCAAAACTTCATGAAATTAATTGAACTGGATAATAAGTGGCCAAATTACAAATGTGATTTTCCAGAATATGATGTATTCACTGTAAAGTATCCCTTGTTTTTTTTTCTCTATTAATATTTGTATTTGTTTTTTATGTTTTGTTTTTTTTAATTTTTTACAGATGCAGCGTCGACAGTAAAGTGTCAAGAGTGGCATGGCTGAACCGCACGACCATTCTTTTTGCCGGAAAAGAAAAATGGTCTCTGGACCCTCGGGTCAGTCTGATGGAAAATACAGCCATCACGGAATACAGCATCGAGATCCAAAATGTTAACATACATGATGAAGGACCCTATGTCTGCTCCATCCTCACAAATCAGAAACCAAAATCTACAAAAGTGCATCTCATTGTTCAAGGTAAAACCTTTTCAGTTTAACATTTTGTGTGGCTGAAGGTCCCGAAGTGACCAGAATTATCTGATGTGATACATCTTAAAAAGCCTTTCTGTAAGCATTATCATGTAAATGAGCTGTAATTAGGCATCAAATGGCATTATGCCAAATAATGGCAACCACGGTCCCCAACATTCGCTTGGCGCATATGTCATTTAAATATGATGCTTACTTGGAGGAGGGAATACTGTAAATGATGCACAGCAGCGCTATGAGCAGCCCCACTCACCGTCATGCCAAACGATCAGGTATAGTCCGATTACAGTCTCCAAGAGCTTAATGAGAAGTTCAGGAGGAAAAAAAAATCTGACACTTTGGTGGAAGCTTTCCCAGCCGGATTTCAAAAAGCATGCTTGCTGACTGGTTAGTACGTCCGCCTCACGGTACAGAGTCCAGGCTTCTAATCTTGGTTCCGGGCTTCTTGTATGGCGTTTGCATGACCTCCCCCATGCCTGTGTGGTTTTCTGCATGTACACTGGTTTTCTACAACATTCCAAAACATGCATAATAGGTTAGTTGAAATATTAGCTGTGATTGAGAGCATGAATGGTTGTTGTTTGTCTGTGTGCCCTGCAATTGGCAAGCAACTGGCTTCAGGGACACCCCGGCTCCTGCCCAAAGACAGCTGGGATAGACTCCAGCATGGCCACGACCCTCGTAAGGATAAACTGATTGAATAATGGATGGACGGATGAAAACTCATTTTCAAATATGAATCTGAAAAAATCTGAATCATCCTGTGTCAAAACTGCTCTTAGCCCTGTGTCACGACATTGCCCCACATAAGAAATGAACCGTCAGCGTGGCTGAATTACTACTGTGACCACAAATGTCCACTTTATGATTCATTTTTCAAGTGGGATTAAATTTAAGTCAAATGTAAAGACAACACTGTAACTCAACACAACTTTGCAGATTCACGATTGTCAGGAGGCTCCAGAACACTCTCCCTCCCATGCGTAGCACAGATCACGCTTTTGAATATGTATGATTGTTCATCCTGCAGATACACCGCATGCACATCCAATTTATATCCGCATAAAAAAGAGGCCAAGGTTGGATTTGGAAAAAATGGAATTGCACTGTTCATTTTGAATGAAAAAAATCTGATAAATGTCACAAAACTACAAAGCTATCCATTAAAATGTCTGAGATTTATTTTTGGAACACAAAAAGCATGCTTAGGGTCCAACTTGATGTGTTTTCCTGGACTGTGTCAAAGATTTCACCTATACAGAAACGCTTATTTGCAAATGAATGAAGGGAAGACACAAAGCCCACTGATGACAAGTAAAGCATGAAATCTCCTTTGGGGATTTCAGATGTGACATTTGTCCCAACAGTTTGTATCCTCTCTAGCTCTTCAGAAATGATGATTGTTGTGGAACCTGCACACAGAGGTTTGAAGGAATATCAATCAACACAGTGACCTTGTCATTTGTAACCCTGTGGGATTAGGGAACCTGCTTCCACTGTGGCTGCACATACAGTATGTGACCCAGCATACCAACATGAATCGGAAGTCGCACAGGTAGATTCCGAGCTTAATGGTTCAGTAGTTCAAACCTGGACCTCTTTAATCACTTAAACTTATCATTTTCTCAATGGAAACATAGCAAAGTATTGAAAAATCACATTTTGTAAAAGACATTCAATAATAACATCAGTAATTATCAGTGTTCGGTTACTTAATTCCCAAAATGTAATACCGTAATTTCCGGATTATAGAGTGCACCTGATTATAAGACATTACACTACATTTTTAAAGGAAAAAACATTTTGTACACACGCAAGCTGCACCCGTCTATAAGACGCAGGTGGGCATATTGTGACATGAGATATTTGCAAAGAAAGTCGTTCCACAAAAAGAGGTTTCAATGTTTAATAACATACCTTAACTTGTCTTTCCAAATAATTCCTGAACGCGGCCGCACCACAGTAGTAAAACATCACTCACATGGCTGGTTTAAAAAACAAAAAAACACAACAAAATAAACGCACCATTCCCTGTCAAGTAATGTTTTGTTTTAAAATGAAAAAATCCTCACTTGCCATAACACTCGGTCAACCGTTCCTTTATAAGGCCTTCTACCTTCCGCGCTTTCGTGTCAACTTTCACGACAATGTCTTGTAGGGAGGTTTTCTTTTGGCATATGTAACCAGGTGAACAATACTATGACTGTTGTAGTGAATGCTGCCTCGTTTAATAAATGGAGCACTGTCACTTTAAAAGGAGTGTTGGATAATCCTGTAGGAAATCTCTTGAGACTTGGACCACGAAGTGAAGGGAGACGAACTGTGAGCTGTGCTTATTCAGACCTGATGGATCTGCAATCGGCATTGTAACCCGGCTGAAATTAAGAGTAAAATATCGTCGTTTGGGAGTTTGAACGGTGTCACACAGTGGGTTGTGTGAACAGCCGCGAAGCAGGGGAGATGAGTTGTTTTCCACGTGTTTTGGGCACATACAACATGCCAGAAAGTGCTCACAAGCCACTACTGTTTTCTATTTTTGTATACCTTTTCTATTTGTCAATCCAATTTGACATATCTCAGTCTTTTATTTTATTGATGCTGTACATTTTCTGTGTTCAGTCAGGAATAAAGCCTTCATGAAAATTATTTTGTTGGTCAAGTCTGTCATAGACGCAGTCCCACAGCTTTCGCATTGTAGTCCGGCTCAAAACACAGGTCAAGTGCGCCCTCTCATGGCCGGTTGTTTTCACTGTGACACATGATAGCATCTCACTATAACCTTTTCTGCTTGAGCGCTCCCTGGCGGCCATTGGAAAAATTTCTAAACAGGCCGCATCATGAAATAAGCCGCAGGTTTGAAAGCTTGTGACAAAAGCAGTGGCTGATATGACAGAAATTACGGTATTTTTCATATTACAAAAAAACAAACAAAAAAAAAAACAAACAAAAGTGCCCCAGTTTGGTTCAGTGACACGCAGGGGCGGAGTACACTGCTCAAAAAAAATGAAAGTTGCCTTTTTTTAATCTAAGCAGAGCTTCACATCTTTTAACCTTCTGGGATATTGATCTGGTGATTTAAGTCACATAGGGTGTTGTTAATTAGTTGCAGATACTTGGGTGTTAATGAAATCAACAACAGGAGGGCAACAATGAGACAACCACTAAAACAGGAATGTTTTTTTTTTTTTTGCCTCCTTACTTTTCCGACAGTTTTTCCACTAGTGTTGCATTCGGCTCAGCCTAGTGTCATTACTGGTAGCATGAGGCCATGGAGTCTACAGCAGTTGCACAGACATTTCCTCCAGGATCGCATGTTGATATGTGCTATTTACTTTACTTTCAGCCAAAATGGGCATATTTATTTGAGCATTCACATCAACGTGCTCCGCTGTGGAGAGTGACATCATCACAATGCATCCAGAGCAACATGGCATTGGATACCATAACATATTGCGTAAAGGTACACATGTAAAACAATGCTGAACAGGAGTCTTTGGAAATGGCATTAACTTGAATGGAAATGAGGCCAAAGAGGGCGAACATTTACCTCATTAGACGATCTCAGATCAAAATACTCCGAAACTGCAGAAATTTTCTTCTTTCTCGATGGCTCCATGGTCTCCACAAATCGACAACGTGATAATTGGCATCCACAAACAGCACACAATCAAATTCTCCGCTCCTCCGTTCAACACAAACACAGATGTTCTACAAGTTCCACATCCTGATGAGCACAATTTGGCATGCAAACTGCTGTCCGACACAGCCGCTGTGTCTCGTGATTTTTCTTACAGTGATATGCGCACCAACAGGGGAATTCGCTTTATGAGTTCAACACATGCGCTAATGCATCGGTATTGCCGGACCCATCACAGGTCGACACCCACAACGGTGGGAGACAAAGTAGTTTCGGCAGCTGAGAAACAGTTTCTTGATGTGTATGACCGCTGGACGTTTGTATGGGTCCACGGGGAACAGTTTCAATCGAGCTTGGCTCCTTGGGAACAAAACACATGGCTCGTGCTCACGTCAGCTTTACCCTTCAGCCAAAGACAATACACCACTCAAGGACTGACGAAACTTGAACAACACTCCATCACATTATCCTCCTCCATAAGGTTGCTGATGTGCACCAACCTTGACAGGTAATCCGCCACAACAGTGGCCTTGCCAGCACAATGTCACATTCATTCAAATCATAAATGAGAAGCAAAATGACCATTCCTTCTTCACAATTCTAAATGCTGCTTTGAACTTGGGTTTGATTCAGTTTGTGTTTTGATTACCTTTTGCATTTTATTTCATGAAACCATAACAGTAATTTGTCTCACAAATGATTTCTCAGCCATGTAAGATGCTGACTATTGTGAAAAAATAAATAGAGCTTTCTTAAGATAGATTCTTTGAACTATGTACACATCTTTGGTTTATGACTTGTAGAAATGGTGATAAGAAATGATTGAACTTCTATTGTAAATTATGTAATGGGCTGGTTTCTGCTATTGTTTTGGTGATTAATTGTGTCTAGTAGGCCAAAAACTGTAAACGTTTCTGAACTCAGCTGTTCCCAGGCCAGCCTGGGAGACATTGCTTCTCCAATGTGTCCTGGGTTGTCCCCAGGGATTCCTGCTGGTATGACATGCCCAACACACCTCATCTGACTCCTCTCAATGTGGAGGAGTAGCGGCTCTGCTCTGAGTCCCTACGATCTCTCTAAGGGAGAGCCCGGACACCCTGCAGAAGAAACTCATTTCGGCCGCTTGTATCCGGGAATTTGTTCTTTCGGTCACGACCCACAGCTGACCATAAGTGAGGGTAGGAATGGAGATTGACGAGTAAATCGAGAGCTTTGCCTTTTGGCTCAGCTCCTTCTTCACCATGACAGACCAATACAGAGTCCGCATCACAGCAGATGCTGCACAAATATGCCCATGTATCTCATGCTGTATTCGACCCTCACCTTTGAACAAGGTCCCAAGACACTGAAACTCTTCCACTTGGTTCACTATCTCATCCCAGACCTGGAGAGGGCATTCCACCCTTTTCCAACTGAACATCGTGGTCTCAGATTTGGAGGTGTTGATCTTCATCCCAACCGCTTCGCACTCGGCTGCGAAATGCTCCAGTGAGTGTTGGAGAGCCCTGCTTGAAGGAGCCACTAATAATTAAAAAAATAATAATCATAAATTTGAAAAAAGCTGAGATGCAATACTGAGGCCACGACAGCAGACCCCTTAATGCCTCACTTGCGCCTAGAAATTCTGTCCATAAAGGTTATGAACAACAATTTGTGACAAAGGACAGCCTTGGGAGAGTCCAACCCTCTTTGGAAACGAACCAAACTCTAACATTGGTGTTATGGAGACCTAACGGCCTATAATAGGGGGCGAAGCACCCCCCAATGAACTCCCCAAGGGATGCAGTTGAACGCCTTCTCCAAGTCCACAAAACACGTGTCAACTGGTTGTGCGAACTCCCATGCCCCTTTGAGGACTCTGCTGAGGGTCCTGAGCTGGTCCACTGTTCCACGGTCAGGACGAAAACCGTAAGGTCTTCTTGAATCTGAGAATCGACCTCTCCAGCAATCCTGAATAGACCTTACCAGGGAAGCTGAGGAGCGTGATTCCTCTGTAGTTGGAATACACACTCCGGTCCCCCTTCTTGAAAAGAGGAACCGCCACACCAGGCTGCCACTCCAGACAACCCAAAAACATCCAGAGACTTTGGGAACTCCGAGCGGACCTCATCCACCGCAGGGGCATTGCCCCCCAAAAAGCATTTTAACCACCTCGATAACCAGAGATAGGAGAGCCCACCTCAGAGTCTCCAGGCTCTGTTTCATCAATGGAAAGCAATTGGTGGAAATTGTCATGATTCGGTTTGGGACCAACAGGTGGCACTGTAGGGCTCTCCCTGTAGCTGCACATCTGTTGGTCGTTATGTAATTAGTGCTTTAAAAGGACTCCCAGCCCGAGCACTCATTGTCAGGTCATTGTTGCTTGTTTGTTGCTCTTTGTTGCTGCTGTCATATTTGTTCTGGTCATGTTTCGGTTATTTGATAGTTTCTGCTTCAGTCATGGTTTTGTTTGATACTTTGGATTGGTTTTCAGGACTTTGTTTGTTTTGGATTTAGTTCTCTGTGTTTTATTGAATACAATTCGTCAAGTTCACCCTGCTCCTCCCTCATGCCTGCTTTTTGGGGTCCACCACCACCTCGCAAACGTGACAGAAATGAGGAGGTCTTTGAAGTATTCTCCCCACCGTCACAATGTCCCGAATTCTGGTCCATTACGCCTCCTAAGACATCGGGTAGTGGACCAGAATTTCCTTGTAGCAGTCCAGTAGTCACTTTCCATAGCCTCGCCAAACTCCTCCGAAAAACCACCAAAGCTGCACTGGCCAGCTGGTACCTGTCAGCTGCCTTGGGAGTCTCACTGTCTCCCCCAATACATGGACAAAGTTCTGCCCGAGGTGGGAGTTGAAACTCTTTATGACAAGATGATTCTGCCAGATGTTCCCAGTAAACCCTCACAATAAATGTCGATCTGCCACGTCGGACCGGCATCTTTCAGCACCAGTGGAGCCAACACACCACCAGTTGGTGATCAGTTGATAGCTCCACCCCTCTCTTCACTAGAGTGTCCAAAACATGCAGTTGCAAATCGGATGATAGAACCCCAAAGTCGATTATCGAACTGTGGCCTAGAGTGTCCTGGTGCCAATTGCACATATGGACACCCTTGTTTTTGAACATGGTGTTTGTTGTAGGCGATCCGTGACGAGCATAGATGTCCAGGAACAGAACACTGGGTTCAGACCAGGGAGCAGCAGGGTAGCGTGTTCCACCCACTCACAACCTTCAAGGTCTCATTAATTGCCCATGTGAGCAGTGGAGTCCCCCAGCAGCAGAACGAGGGAGTTTCCAGGGCCGAGCGCACTCCACCACAGCTTCCAAGGACTCCAAAAAGGGTGGGTACTCTGAACTGCTGTTTGGCGCATTGGCACAAACAACAGTCAGCAATTCATACCCCCACCCGAAGGTGGAGAGAGGCTACACTCGTCCGCCCGAGTGAAATCTATTGTGGGGCAATAAGTATGCCCACACCTGCTCTGCACCTCTCACCCTAGGAACTTCTAGAGTGGAAGAGAGTCCAACCTCTGTCGAGAGGACTTTTTCCAGAGCCCAAGTTGTGTGTGGAGGTGAGTCCGACTATGTCCGACTCTCTGCCTCACACATCAGCTCGGGGTCCTTCCCGGTGATATTTCAGGTATTCACTGATGGTTGCTGAGTAATTCCGAAGAGTACCGGAGGAAGAAAAGACTTACTTACCTGCTGTCTCGGGAACCCACATTTTATTAAAAAATACATGTATAAATTGGGTAAAAACATTGTTTTATTTACTAGCGCCTCCTTGTTGGTCATTAAGGCTGCTTCTTTGTTTGGTCACATTTTGTTCATGCCACAGCCCATGGAGTCAAACAGCTCATGAGTAGTCGGCTTTCCCCGCACACATGAAGATTTTTGGTCAAAGATATTGAACATGTTTCATCGTTATGATAGTCGGCCCTGACTAGTTTCGTAGCCTAGTATTAGGACATGTCCACCACCGACATAAGGATCATCTTATAGGATCTTATTAGACATAAGATAGCCGGGTGTTTGACATCCTTGATCATGATAGGGCAAAATCGAGACAAAAACAGCCCAAACATCTTTATATGTTTACCCGGCCATAGGTTTGATTGTTTCCCTATAATAGGATGCTTGTTTTAATTCCTCATTAGTCATGAATTCAGCTGAGTAAATTAAATTAAATCAGCCAGAAGGAAGATCAGCAAGCTCAAGCAAATATTCACGCTGACTGCAAATTGCGCATTAAGTCTCGTTACTCTACCTTGCTTACTTATGAGAGAGGGGGAAAAAAAAGAGCAAATATACTGTTAATCTTATTGGGACTCAAGAAACACAAAAACATAATCCGACATCAACATTGTAACCAATTATATTGTTGCATGTTGAAAAAGACTCACAGTTCATTTTGTTTGCTGATGTCTATTGTGGAGGAGACACACTGATTATTTTCATGTGCAACGGTTAAATTTTTGTGAAATACTTTATCTTTAATAGTACTTTAAAGCATTCCCTCACCCCTCCACCCAAAATGCTCAGATTCAGGCAGGTTATAGTGCAATACTGATAGATGACATCACACTGGTAAACTTGAAAGATTTGGAAACACAGATCATGGGCAAGGCAGCAGGATGGAATACTTAGCACAGTTGCCTTACAGAAAGAACAAGAACATTTTAAGTTCAAACCCTGAACCATGCATTTCCGTGAGACTGGTGATGGTGTCCACCACTGTAAGTCAGATGGTCAGCTCCAGTTTTCCTGTGATCGTGAAGAGAATAAATCGTATTGAAAATGGTTGGAAGGTTCAATTTGTTTGGACTGCATACTTGATGTGATTCAAACTGTGCGCCCGATTCCATTTTTTGGGTGAACTCATGTGCTCATGTTAATATATTGATGAATAGGTGACAGAATGTTGAACATTAGTGATCCAGTTCTGACACATTTTCTTTTGGTTTTTGACTGAACACTGACTGTGTTGTCAAGTGTTTTTTTTTTCTTTTAAGCCGCAATGTTATGAATAGGAAACCAGAAACCGCCTTGATGCCAGTGGAATCAAGAAATCAATATCAACATGACTCAAAGTAGGATAATGTATATCCCCCCAAAAAATGCACCGTAACTGTGGAGCTTTTTTCATGCTGATCACAAGATTTGCACATATCATCGTACACAAACATTTAGTTTACCTCCCTTCAGCATGGGTGTGAGTACCTCGGAGTGGGTTTTGGAACATTAGATGCCATATTCCAGATGAAAAAAAACAATTGGACTGAAAGCTCCGCACTTCAAGCAGACGTCCCTGCTTCTACTTCGACAAAAACACGACGTCCAAAAATTAAATCGCCAATTAAAGCTGCTGAAAAAAAAACTGACTTAATTACGTTGACACTGTATTGCACCATGCCTGTCGGTAGCATTTAGAAGCAGTTCCATTGCTCGCAAGCCGCCGTTCCAACGGATCACATTTTAACAAACCGAGCTTACTTTACTTGTTTTTTTTTAATTTTTTTTTTTAGCAAAATCACGAGTGTTGTTCTCTCACTTTGTCTCACAGCCAAAAATGATGGTGAGGGATTTTTCTAAAATTTCACAAATGTTTCTCGAGAGGAAAA